TATGCTTCCACCTTCCATAAGAGTTTGCAATACAAAGTTCATGCATGAAGGGAGGATTAAAAGTAAAACCGCTTATGATCTGAATTTTTAATACCACAAATTTTTGAGGTCTCTACCTTGGGATTTAAACATTTTCTCTTTGTGTGCAACACAACTTCAGGCATGATCGTTGACGAGTTAGGAGGAAAGGGCTTAAAGTTCCTGAAAACAGGGGCTTCCTACCTCACTAGGAGTATGGCTTTGTGGCAGTGTGGGGTCTCTCTCTAACCAAACAGTGATCTAGAAATATTTCTCATACCTTCTTTTAAATTTTCTGTCTCCCTTATTGCTAAGGAACAACTTCAGGTTACCTGATGATGACTGTGTATCAGGTGTGGTATTTAGTTCTAAAGACATCCTTCGGAGCAGGTAGTATTACCTTTGTGCAGTCCAGGACACCGGTTTTTTGTTTTTTTAGTACCGGGGGGACCTTGAGCTTGTAAGGCAGGTGCCAGATCCACTGAGCTAAATCCCTAGGCCTGAGGACACCAGTTTTAAAGAGAGACCAAACATCAAGCCAAAGGTCACACAGCAGAGACACCAGGGGCAGGGTCTGGAATGCCTCCCAAACTCTTAGCCTAAAATATCGTACTACACTGATGGAAAACAATTTGGTAGGCCCTGGACTTGTGAAAAAGTTTTAAAACTAAAACACTCAAGGAGCATTTGCTTGATTCTCTGGTAAAACAACACAGTTTCTCACACACACACACACACACACACACACACACACAAACACACACCCGACATTCATAGACAATAGCCAACAGATAGGACCTGGACAGGCTGGCAGCCTCTGCTGTTACGTCCTGAACAAACCTTTGCAAAACAGCCAATTGGCATCAGACTCTTATTAGTGGTATATCTCCCTCCTGGTTTGCTCTTAAGCCGTAGAATTATAATCAGGCAGTCATGTGGCTCAAGGGGCTGAGCATCATAAGGCTTCCCAGAGTCTTTGTTCCATTAGTTTGTCCATATGACCTTGTCTCCTGCCTGGTCCCTGCAAACACCTGAAGCATGATCCTCCTTTTCTGTCAGCGCTCACAGCCCTTTAAATTATGCATTCTTTCATTTGTGCCAACTGAGCTGGGAGAGGGACTTGTAGAACATTCCTCTTCCCATCAGATCTTAAGCTATTTCAGCAAAGAAAATAGTAAGAGCTGGGCATAGCAACACATGCCTGTAAAACTAGTCCTCAAGGAGGCTGATGCAGGAGGATTGTGAGTTCCAGGCCAGCCTGGGCTACATAGCAAGATCATGTCTCATAAGACAAACAAACAAAAAAGGTATATGGAAGCAAAATTCACAGTTAATTTTTACTGAAAGATAGATGAAAGGAGGAAGGCACAGAGAGAACACTTCACAATATAATGGAAAAAGAGAAGGCAAGAAAGTAATAACCAAGATGGTCTGTTTATGGTCCCTTTTGAAAATGAAACAGGAAGACTCTACACATTGAAAAAAGGAAGTGACTTCTGACCCTTGTCTAGACTCTGGAATGAACAAGCCAACCTGATAAGGATCAGTGTGAAGCAATATTTACCCATTTCTATGAAGCTGTGAATATAAAGAAGGGCCTCTGAATCATGAGCACAGAAGGAAATTAAGTTCAATATTTGTTGGGCAGATTCTGACTCATCATTATTTTGAGAGAAAGTCTGATTACTTTTCTGGACAATTTTAATTCTCTTGGAATGTCAGTTTTACCAAGCTGTGTTAGCTAAGAAAGTACATTTGAGTTGATATATGGGATATGATAAAATATGGTGAATGTTAAATTTTACGAATGTATTACATAAAAGGCACACTGCCACGAATCCCTCTCAAAATACTCCCCCTTGCTTCAAACACACTTATGGGGCGGGGGGACAACCCAAGCTTATTGTTCTTGTCACTTTCTGAAGCAGTTTGGGAAGTCCTCTTTTGTGAGTGTCTTTAGTTGTATTGTCGTGGCTGTCTCCATGTTCTGAATTGATTCAACATATTTACCTTCCATTGTCATTTTGACTTTAGGGAAGAGCCAGTCACGTGGTACTAGATCTGGTAACTCAGATGGATGAGGCCACACGAACATTTTTTTGGGCCTGCCTTTCCATTTGCTGACACAGAGCACCAGCATTCACCAGAATTTTTGATCATACCTGGTAAAGAAGAGGACTTCCAGAACTATGTCAGAAATGATGGAATAAGTGTGTTGAAAGCAAAGAAGAGAGTTTTGTGGAGGATCAATAGCAAGGTATCTTTTACTGTAATAGTTTTTTAAAAATGTAAACATTCACCATATATGTTGATTACACCTTCTAAGTTGTATTTTACATGCAAGATTCAGCAAGACCAGCAAGACTCCTGAATACTCTTTCTTAATGTAACATTCAGGAGAGAACTGAATTAACACAATATCTACAGTATTAATATAGGAGGAATCCACCTTAAGAAAACATGACAGTCAATAATTCATGAGACAGGGCTGGGGATTTAGCTCAGTGGCTCCACTGCCTGCCTTGCAAGCTCAAGGACCTGAGTTTGATCCCCGTACCAAAAAAAAAAAAAAAAAATTCATGAGACAGGGATAGTTCTTTGCCTTGGCTGGGATTCTTGATTATGTCGCATGCCATCCAAATTTCTGCCCTACCTACAATGGGAACTGTGCTGTCCATCAGAAGAGAATTGGTTAACTAAATTACACATCCACATAACAGAACAATGGATAGCTTTAGAAAGAGTGAAGTGAAACTGGTTTATTAGTGAGCTGGAGAAACACAGCAAAGTATGGAAGACCGTGTGCAGTAAGACTGCAGACATGGTCACTATTGCTCTCTTCGTCCTCGTCACAAGGGGCAGGAGGAAGGCTAAAGAAAGGCTTCCTGCCCTGATGTACATATTTCTGTACTGTTTGCTTTTTTAAAAATGAAGAGCCAGCCGGGCATGGTGGTGCATGTCTGTAATCCCAGCACTTGGGACGTTGAGGCAGGAGGATCGCCATGAGTTTAAGACCAACCTGGGCTAAATAGTGAGTTTGGGGCCAGCCTGAACTACAAAGGGAAACTCTGCCTCATAAACAAAACCAAACCAAACCGTAAAAAATGATGAATATACATGACTTTTGGTAACTAAAAATATGCAACTATAAATGAAAACGACATGAAAAATATTTGAAAAAATTGGGTGACTTTCATTTCAAATGTCACTAATTAGAAATTTGGTATTAAAAATAAATTTTCAAATAGAAGCATATTTCTCTTGGAAGTTGTATAATCCTTTCTGAAATTGCTCTCACTCACAGGGCTCATAGAAACAAAATGCTATTGGGTGTGGTGGCGCATGTCTGTAATTCCAATGCTAGGGAGGCTGAGGCAGGAGGATTGCCACGAATTGGGGGCCAGCTTGGGCTACATAGTATGTTCGAGGCTAGCCTGAACTACAGAGCAAGACCCTGTCTCAAAAAAAAAAAAAAGAAAGAAAGAAGAAAGAAAATGCTAGTTGTAGGACTACATGTGTGCATGTTCCTGTGCTACCCCTCAGAGAGCTGGACATTGCTGCTGAAGGATGCTTTTCTTATTCTCATTGATAACTGCTTTTTTTTGTTTTTGGTGGTGGTGATGCTGGGAGATTTAAACTTCAAGTTTGAGGATCTTGAGCATGCTAGGCAAGTATTCTCCCACTGAACTATATCTCTAGATCTTTAAAATTTTTTTTTTTATTTTGAGACAGGGTCTCACTAAGTTGCCTGGGCTGGCCTTGAACTTGTAATCCTCCTATGTCAGCCTCCCAGTAGCTGGGATTACAGGTGTACACCACCATCCCGAGTTTGTATTGATAATTTCTGATAATCTAAAATCCAGCCAGTCTGCATGGGAAGGTTTGCTCTGGGCCTCTTCTTTGTGTCAGTGTCATAATAATAAGATGCCGACAAGCAGGAACTCAAGGAAGACTGTGAGCATTGATACTAGAAGGACACTTAGGTGCAGCACGCCACGGTATGATTACAGGCTTGCTTTATGAGGAATGAGGCAAGAGACAGGTGATATGATAGGAGTCCTTCAGGGCTGTGATGTCGGGTTGTGATAATGCAGGTTGGTTTACTGCGGTCTGTTATTAGAGGCCACTGGTTTACTCCTGCAGCCCCTGGTGACGGCAACCGCGCACAGGGAGGGTGGCAACACCCACCAGGCTGGCATGAGTCAGTCCTATTTCACCGTAACACTAAGGAGACCAGAGGCACCTGTGGTCATCCACAGGGATTCGCCAGTTCCTACACAGGCAAAAATGTGCTGTGCACTTAGGCTGAGTCAAGAGAAGCAGTTTCACAAGCAAATTTTAAGTGGAAAACAGTAACTGTTTTAGTTCTGGGAAACCTGAATTTGATGGACTAGGACCCTTTAACAAATAGCATATTGCTTATTTTTCTTTACAAAAAGTATGTTTATTGCAGAAAACTGAAACATAGTTAAGTAAAACATAGCAGCAGACATAGAAGGTTACTCGTGACTATACCACTGACAAATAAGCAGCACCAAAGGTGTTTGGCTTATGTTTTTCAGAATTCACCCACTGTACCACCCATCTGATACAAATGTGTGTGTACGTATGTATATATTCATAAAACTGACAAAACAAGCGGCAGCATCCTTATTGTACTAACTTAGAATACCGACCCAACTGCATGCATGTGCTTGTGAACTATGCTGCAGTCAATGTCCTTGTGGCTGCATCGGACTACCGCGGGACAACAGATCACACCTGGAATTAATTATGTAAATGGAGCATGAATGAATTAGAGAAGAAAATGCCCACATTCTCCACAAAAACAACCAATTTCATTTAACTCGAGTCTTCTCTGAACCAGAGGCTTCAATAAGGGAGGTTCTCAGCCCAAGACTGCTCAAGGTACCCCTTAAAAGGATGTCACAGGATCTAGAACCATCGAAGCTTCTCCTAAACATCTGAAATGATCCACTTACCTTCCGAGGCTTCACCTTATCTTGCAAATCATACTGGCCAATTCCTTTATAGCTGATTCCAAGCCACCAAGGAAGTCCTTGTTTATCCTAGAAGATGGAAAAGCATGAGAACCAACACCTAGTTGTTATGTCTTCCAAAGGTGAAGTAATATCTACCAATTTTCTTCCTTAACAAGTACCAACAAGTTCAAAATAAAGCTGTTTTGATAAACAAAGCACTACTTTTAACTTTGCTACAAAAATGCTTTCTTAGTGTTTCTTGTGATAAGACATTTAAGTCAAAAGAGACCAACACTGGTAATACCATAAAAAAGAATAAAGCAGTATTGTTTTGATTAAACATTTGAAAAGAAGTAATAAAATGTAAATGATTCAACCAAGAATTAATCCAAGCTGGGTGTGGTGGCACATGCATGTAATCCCAGCACTCAGGAGGCTGAGGCAAGAGGATCACACAGTTCAAGGCCAGCCTGGGCTACAGAGTGAGTTCAAGGCCAGCCTGAACCACATAGTATAAACCTGTCTAAAAGAGAGAGAGAGAGAGAGAGAGAAAGTTAATTTAGTACAAAGCTAGTTATCAGTTTAAAGAAAAAGCTCTGTTCTCTCAATCTGTAACCAGTTATAAAGGTTGGGGAAATTTCCAAAGAATTACAAAGGTGAAAGGAAGTGGTTCCAAATCCTCATACAATGAACAATGAAGGCAAGAATATTTTAAAAAGCCTGTTGGGGGAACTGTACAATTTAATACCAGGATGTTTGCATAATCAGTCTGAAGTACTTATGAGCAGGGAAGTAATATACTTTTTCATAAATTTGTTTTAGCTCTTGCCAAAGGAAAGGATGTTTTGACCTAGGGACAGAAAAATTTAGGCCTCATCATATACCGATACACAAATCAGGATCAGTAGAAACAAAAGTTTAATTGGCAAACATTTTAAGTTCGGGGTGTCCTCATTATATAAGTACTTATTATCTATTTTCCTTACATCTGGGATGGTAAAAGATGTCAAAACATCAAAAGTCACTAAAGAACTGGTCACTTTTATAGTTATTCCTGGTCTGGGGTGCAGTTTAGTGGTAAAGCACCTGCCTAATATGTTAGGCCCTGTGTTTGATCCCTAGCACTGCAAAAAATAAATACTAAGTTTTGTAAATAAATAAAAATTATTTCTCTTTCAAGCAAAACTCCCTTCTTACACTGTGCTCTGCTCCTTATCATATCAAAATACTTCTTAGTCAACCTCTCTCTGCTTTTAAACATCTGAAAATACTGGGCAAATACAAAATATACTGATGGAAAAGTGGTATTGCAAATCTTGCAAAAATTTCAGCATCTCTTAAAGCTGTTGAAAGAACAGTGGAGAAAGCATGATCCTCACAAGTAGCACTATCAATCGAAGAACTGATGGTGTTAGAGGGTGAACACTGGAAAAGAAATATCAGCAAGGGGTTTAAAAAAAAAAAGGTCTAGGGCTGGGGGCATAGCTCAGCAGCACATCATCAACCGAGCACACGTGAGACCCTGGGTCCAACCCCTAGCAAGCCCTTCCCTCACAAAAAGAGAGGATGACCTGAATATCTTAAAAGAGGCCTTGGTAAAACACTTAAATGTATCAAGTATTTTGCAAAAATAAAGTGCTTTATAATTTGCTAGAAGTGGTAAGATATAATCAGGTTGTAAAATTTTAAGAAAACCATTTCTATTTGAAATGTTGTAACAATTTCTGCAATTTAGATGTATAATGATAAGTGATTTTAGAAAGTTGGTTTTGTTCAGTAACTCATAAAGTATCTCCTAAAGTATCCTGGCCATTTGAAAGCTTTGTAATGTAAAAAGTATTTACCTTTACTGCATAGTAATGGACTCCGTAAGTTGGTAGAGCTTCTACTATTTTCATATACCTATGGAAGATGAATATATATCACAACCTTATTAAACTAGTCAAAGCTCTCTTTTGGAAAAAGTGATTTAGGGAAACACAACTTGTTTCTACTTTCCTCATTTAAACTATGACTAATGTCTTTGACTCAAGCAGAAATAGAACAAGTCATTATAGGGATTAATGTAGTTTATGCCTTATCCATATGTTAGGAACTTTTTAACAGAGCCTGTTTCAAAAAGCTATAGGAAATGTTATTTTCTACACAAGTTCAAGCCTAGCAAGGGCAACTTAGACTTAGTGAGATCCTATTTCAAAATAAAAATTAAGCCAGACATGGTGGCACATGCCTGTAATCCCAGCCCTCAGGAAGCTGAGGCAGGAGGATAACTGTGAGTTCGAGGCCAGCCTGGGCTACATAGTGAGATCAAGACCAGCCTAAACTACATAGCAAGATCCTATCAAAGTATAAATAAATAAATAAATAAAAAGGACGGGGAAGTAGCTCAGTATGAAGGCCCTGGATTCAGTCCACAGTACCAAAAACAAAAAAATTGAATTGCAAATATTTTTAAAAATAAGCATCTGATGATACAAAAGTGAAAGTCAACTTATGGGTCATGTTCATCATCATAGATAAAAAATACAGCTATTCTACCTACTCCATATATTAATTGTGATCAAGGTTGCATAACTATAAACAACTGTCCTAACTCTTAGAAATATATACTTTAAAAGAGTAAATTTAGCTGGACGTAGTGGCACATGCCTGAAATCCCAGCACTTGGGAGGCAGAGTCAGGAGGATCACTGAGAGTTGCAGGCCAGCCTGGGCTACACAGTGAGTTCAAGACCTGTTTGAACTACACAGTGAGACCTTGTCTCAAAACAAACAAAAAACAAACAATAAATAAAAGGGGGAACTTTATGGTTGTAAACCTGATTTTAAAACTATATATTCCAAAAATAAAAACTAAGGCAAAATGATGCCACCACTTGCTATTTTTAATTCAAGAAGTATTTGTTGGCCAAAACTGGTGGCGAACACCTGTAATCCCAGTCCTTGGGAGGCTGAGGCAGGAGGACAGCCTGGGTTATGTAGTGAGAACTTGTCTTTAAAACAAAACAAAACTTGTGTACTTTTTAGGCTTTGGAGTGCTTTGACTTGTGAAAGGTTCCTCTCTGCCCTAAAGGAACTGAGGTTTTTTGTTCAATTCTAGTGGACTTTGAAATGACATTCCAAAGACCACTTTCTCTGGACACAATAATCAATAACTTAATACTGTTTTAAAAAGCAAATGGGGGCCAGGGATTTAGCTCAGTAGTTTCGCCGCCTGCTGTGCAAGCTCAAGGACCCAAGTTCGATCCCCGGTACCAAAAAAAAAAAGCAAACGGCCTTCATGTAAATGACCTGGACAACACACCGGAGTCCTAACAGCTGCATTAAACAGTTTTTCTCGTTGGAGCCACACTCCAGTGATCAGGGGAAATAAAAGTAAACGGACTGTATTTAAGCAAGGACACTCTGTAATAAACATACCCCTCAGCCTCACTAAAACTCTTCAGGGTTACTGCCTTTCTTTCCTTCGCGCCCTCCCTCTTTTCCTTCTTTTTTCTTCACTCCTGGCTGGCTCAGGAAACAGGTATAATGAGTTAAATTGTCAAGGATTCAACGTGACTGCTGACCTACAATCTCTGCATTGAGGATCATGGCAGGTATGTTAGGACAAAAACAAGATTTGGGCAAAGCAGAGGGAGTTAGGAAAGAATATACAGGGACCAGAAGGTGGGTGATTGGTCCTTATTTCAGCTCTCACATGTCTCATGCTAAACTTAGCAGTTTTGTTTTGTTTTTTAAGTTCTATGGCCACAAAAGTTACTCTATAATTATTACAATAATAATGTACTTAAATCGGTTTTTAAAAATCATTTTTAGAAGTTTAATGTATAAGTGAGAGGTTTTTTACTTGGTGGAGTACTGGGGATTGATCAGAGGACCTTCATTTGCACTGAGCCATAGTCTCAGCCCATTTTTAAATTTTGAGACACGGTCTTGCTAAGCCACTTAGTTGCCCAGTCTAAGCTCGAAAATGGGATCCTCCTGCCTCAGCCTTCCAGATTGCTGGGATTACAGGGGTGCCCTATCACACCCAGCTAAGTGAACAGTTCTTAATAAGTCAGTGGTAACTCTACAAACATGAAATACAGAAATGTATCACTCTAGTTTGCTCTTTGTAGCATGAAGAAACAGACTAATCAACACCAATATGCTATGTACTCCACCCAAAGTAGAATTGCAAACTGAATTTTGGGCTTCCAGTAGAAGATCTGGCATCACTGGGTCTGAACTCTGAAGCTAAGAATTCAGACCCACCTCTGTGTGTAGTGAGAGCTCCCTGGTTCTTCCCAGTCCTCACCATTCCCTATCCCCTTCCACCCGACCTATGCTCCTGTTTTGACAGGGGGTGGACATCTCAGAAAGTAGCACCAGTATGCAGGACAACCTAAGACATTTTCTAATTGTGGAAAGATATTTCTAACTGAATGAAAACTGTGTACATGAAAACAACACAACAAAAATTATTTCAATAACTTCTTCCAATGGAAACATTACAATGGTATCTAAGCAAAAGGACACCAAAAATACTTACTGAACCACAGCCTGTCCTCGAGTCAAACCTTTGATTTTCAGATAATGCTTAATTACTCTGTCCTCACTGTAAAACAAGAAATAAAAAGCACAGCAACCCATGATTATCTGAGATACAGACTCCACTTCGAGATTCCCAGGTGGCCACTAGAAACGTGAGTGAAAAGGCCCATACAAACCTGTTCACTAGACACAGTGGGGTCTGGCTTTTGTTTCTGTAGGACACGAATTTCTGAATTTCAGACATTTTGAGATAAGAGATTAGGGCATGACAAAGCTGGCTAGGGAAGTAGGTGTGACCTGTTAATTAGGAGATCCCCAACACATGTGCAGAACAGGTCCCAGAGTCCTGTATGTGGACTTCTTGGGAGCTCAATCAGTTTTCAATAGGGTGGCCTGGACCTGACATCAGCCGGAGACATGGGATACCAGTACCACTTCTCAGGACCTGTATGTACTTCTCTTGGATTTCCTCAGAATTTGGACAATATAAAGGACATTCTGATGCTATGAAAAGCATGCTATCATTCCACAATTCTTTGTTTCAGATGAGAAGAACCTGGAAACTCCAGAGGGAGAGGTGAGCAACCCAGAACTCGGTAATGCGAGCCACTTTTGGAAGCAAGTTACCTGGTAACAATTTGACTGCCCCCATTATGATCTTTAAATCTATTTACACGGCATGCATTTATGTTTTAAAAACATCATTCACTAGAAAAGGAAACAGGATCAGTTTTTCAGATGGAAAACTAGTATCTTGGATAGAAAATAATAAGTACAAAATAATAATATTAAATCCTAGTTGGAGAACATTAAAACTAAGACCTAGCCTCCTCTCTTTAGTTAGAAAAGGGGATCTGTAATCCCAGAACTCTGGGATGCTGATGTAGGAGGCTTTCGAGTTTTAGCCCTCCTGGGCAATTTGGTGATTCACTAAGATCCTGTCTCAAAATAAAAAATAGAAAGTGGCTGAAGAAACAGCTCAGCGTGAAGGTCTTGGGCTCAATCACCAGTTCCCCCCTTCAAACAAGCAAAATAAAAATAAAAAAGAAACACACACACACAAAAACCCAAAAACAAAAACCAGCAACTTGTTCAGAAGGGTCAAGAGTTAGCATGCAACAGAGAGGAGGTGAACCTTCCAGGGCACTGCACTGCCACCTCAGCCCCTAGGAGGTGAGTCAAGCAGGCGCCAGCAGCACACATCCCCCCCACCCCTTGAAAAGAGAAGACACATAAACAAGTCTCAAAAACAGACTTCCAAATCACCTAAAGCAACCCCAAAGGGAAACAAGATGGAACAATCTGATACTCAACCACCTGTACTCCCTGAACTGGCAACAAAAGAGGATTTGGAAAAAATGAAATCAGAAATAATTTTTCAGATATCAGTAGAGATTGTATTCATAGTGCAAGACATGATTAATAAATCTAGAGAGGACACAGATAAAATAATAGAGAAGCTGAGGAACATGATAAAATCCCAACGTAGGAAACAAATAGAATCCATAAAACAGATGCAAACAGATATCCAGGAGTTTAAAAACTCCAAAGTTTATGCAGCAGAATGAGCCAATGTGAGGACAGAATTTCAGATATAGAAGATAAGATTGCAATTAGTGAACAGGAAAAGAAAAACTGCTTTAAAATTGTAAGGGACCATGAGAAATCAATCCAGCAGCTATTAGACGATGCAAAGAAGATTAACATAAGACTGATTGGAGTCAATGAAGAAATAGGAGAGAGTGCAGACAACAGATAAAAAAACTGTTCACAGAAGTGATGGCAGAAAACTTCCCATGCTGGGGAAAAGAACTTGACATACAGATAAGAGAGGGATATAGGACTCCAACTAGCTGTGATCAAAAACAATGTACACATAGGCATATAATAGTTAAGATTCCAGAAAGCCAGGAAAACAACAAAATTCTACAAGCAGTTAGAGAAAAGAAATGAATCACATACAAAGAAAAGCCCATCAGAATCACAGCAGACTTCTCACACAAACCCTCAAGACAAGAAGAGCTTGGAGTGATGTATTTCAAGTCCTAAAGGAAAACAGCCCCCAACCCAGATTGATGTACCCAACAAAACTATCAAAATTGATGGAAAATAAGATACTTTCATGACAAAGAGCACCTTAGGAACTTCATGAATACCAAACCAGCACTCCAAATAATTTTAGACAATATCCTAGTAAAAGACAGTGAGGATCACAACCCCAGGAAGCACAGCAGAATGAATCCATTG